GCCACTCGGGGCTGTGGGGTTTGCTTCGGGTGTCCCCGTGCGCAGCGTTGGCTGGTCAAGGCAAAGGCCGCCCGCCCTGCCCGCCACCCCCACCGCGGGCAGCAGCCTGCAAAGGACGGGTCTGGCTGGGGCAGCTCAATGCAGAACCAACGCTTTTTTTGTGAATTGATGTTATCGCAGCAAAAACTTTCTGACATTTTGTCCTTGGCGAAACCGTACCTGCTCATCTTGTACCGTGTTCCTGCGCCCGTTCCTCGTGTCCCCCTTGTGTCTCTCACTCCTGTTTTCGGATGTGAACAAATAAACGTGAAAGCTCTCTGCCTGAAGCAGGCAATCCAAAAAGCTCCAGACATCTGACCTTCAAATACAGCATCAAGAATTTGCTAAAAATTAAGAAAACTGCTGAAGGTCTGACTTGCTAACACAAGCTTATCGGCAGCAGCCGTGGGATTTCTCCAGGTCCAACAGTGACTGTGGAACCGCGGGCAGCTCTGCCCGCTCCCCACGGCCCTTGCAGACCGCTCCACAGCCTCCCCCTGCTCCCCGGCAGGCGTACAGTCAGAGTTTAATTTCTGTACTTTCCAGACTACACTTCCCGCAGGGTCTAACATTTTTGGCCTTATGCAAGCTACAATCCTCCTTACTCCACTTCCAGCCCCAGCAAAGGCATTGCCCTGCGCTGGTTTCCAATGGCTTGGGTACAGCCACACCGACGGAGCAGGCAGGCACTAAGAGAGAGGAGGGATGCTTGCCCTGAATTTAGGAAGTACGTTTTTACTACAAGCATCATGTTTCAGATGTCAGCAGTACAAATCTCTCCCAAGCTGCCTAAATCTTTGTGAACAACCTTCCGCCCTGGTGCTCAGACTGCAAGTCCCAATGGCTGGCCACCAAAACAGTAATTGCTGGGGGGGGGAGGAAATCAATTTCTCATGGAAGAATCAATCCTTCCCCACCCCCCAAGTCAGAGGAGGGGGGAGGAAATCAATTTCTCGTGGAAGAATCAATCCTTCCCCACCCCGCAAGTCAGAGGAAAAGATCCATGTCAAACACAGAAGAAGAAATAGAAGGAAATACTTCTGACACCGCCATCCCCACCATCTCATATTTAAGCAAAAGACCGAAGACCTAGAAAATAATTTTGCTTGGCACCCCATTGCACATACGCTGACCTGACTGCTGCTGCTGCTGAAGTTTAATTCGATGTTGCACAGTGCCTGAGGTACTCTTTTGCCAAACACAGCCAAGAATTTAGGCGATATGACTTCAGTTTGCTTTACTTGTAAATTCACAAGTCCAACAAAATCCAACAAAAACTGGTATTAGGCCTGTACAATCCATATATAAAAAGGGTTGGTTTATTGTAGTTCAAATACATAAACTGAACAATCCCAACATTTCAAAATTAAACTTTAGAAACACAAGTTTAACATTCAAAACAGGAGTATAGTTTACAAGAATTGCCCAGAGGGGAAATCCACAGTCTAATCCAGAAGTATGTAAAGATCACTTTATCGTAAATAAAAATGTGTTTATACAACCGTCCTGTTCTGCTCCAGTAACCACTGTTATTTACCAAGTGTTTCCAACTTCGAGTAAAAATTATTAGACAAATCTTCACTTGGGCAGAGCAACCTGATTTTGCTTCTAATTCATGGATAGGGTAAGGAACAAAGCAGACCTGTGAACAGATTTAATTTGGTCTCTTAGTCCTAATTCTCCTCTCTCGGTTCTAACTCTGGCTTTAATGGATTTAGTTCCATTTACAAGGGTGAAAGCAAGCAGAGAATTGGGACTTGTGTTTCCAGAACGCGGTCTTCAGTAATCAGTAATTTAAGCTATCAGACAGCATTTCACCTCCTCAGCCAGGGACCGTGGGTAACCATTAGGAAGCTGGTGGCACACATGTAGTACAAGTTCAAACCACAAGCGCGGTCATCCTTAAGACTCACATGTATGACACTGCTGAAAAGAATGCCTCCAAATATCAGACATCCACACCTCATATACAGATACTGCATTGCTCTGAGATCTGAAGTTACCAAACACAGCCCACATGTTTGGATTTTTGTCAGTCATGCCCCAAAGAAACTCATAAATACCTTTAACGTGGGGTTTTTGTTGTTGGGTTTTTTCCACCCCAGAGACCATTTTATGTTCACAAATGCTGCTTCTTCCTCTGCTCCTCAGATGGTTTTGCAATATATTCACGGTAATGTATATGTATAAACCTGACAGATGGCTCATGCAAGCTTTTTGATTTAACAGACACCCTTGGCTTAAGAGTATTTCATAACTATTTTGTTGTTCGTCTTGTAGGCTCTGAAGCTGTGGGTGGTGGAGGCGGGCCTCGACGGTCCAGGTCATCTACGTAAGACACAATGAGTTTGCGTCTCTCTTCTGGTACACAGTCAAGTACCAGATATCGCTTGTCATTTTGTAATATCTTCTCTACATCTTTCAGATGCTGATCTGACTCCTGGATCAACTTTTTGGATCTGAAAGCAAGAATAAGAATTACCACCTGAGAGCGGTCCAAGACGCACAGAACGCCCTGGGAACCCACCCTGCTCCCGGCGGTGGCTGCTACGAATTCAGAGAAGCTGCCCTCACCGTAAGAAAGTGCAGGCAGAGTCAACGAAAGGCAAAGCAGGGAAAGGGTGCAGAGACCTGCTCTATCTTCTTAGCTAGACAGATGCCGCTTTAGGTCAGGACTAGGCACATCAACAGTAGTACTCTATGCACAGGAAATAAAGGCTTGTTGCCTACATTTGTTCTATATTAATTAAGCACCATGGAAGACTTGTGTCTGGCTGCAATGGCCTTGTACAGCACTACATGAACTATAGAAATGCTAAAACTTAGAGGGAACAAAAAAAAAAAACCCACCAACAGAGTTTTAAATTCAGCATCTAAATGAGGCAAATTATTAGAATTTGGATGTGGAAGTCTCAGCTACAGTCCAGCTTGACTGATTAACTGTGTCCACAGCACCAGCTTAGAGCACTGTCATTCAGCTCACCGACAGCAGCACCAGCTGAAACCAGAACTCCAATATGCTACAGTGCTGACCGCAAAGGAATCATGCAGTTCATTAGAATCCAAAGAACTTCATTTTCTCCTTTTTAAGTGAACTCATGTTTCTGATAGGAAACTTGTTTTGGTCCATACCCAAGATTCTGTAACAGCCTTCCCATCCCTTGAAACTGAGTGAAAAAGTCAACTGCTTTGTAAATCTACCCACCTGTAAGGCACACCCTTTCAATGAAATCCTCCCACAGAAACCGGGCGAATTATTTATGGGTTTTTTACAAAATTTCAATAGAGCCAATATTTCTTTGCTCTCTACTCCAAAGTCCTGAAACAGAGTCCTCACTTCAGTATTGATCCCTCCTGAGTCTAAACCAAGGACTAATACAAACATGAAAGATGGCCCTCGGCCCAAAATTAATTTAATGCCTGACAGCTCAGAGTACTATTCACAGAACACTATTCCAAAGCCAAAGAGAACCTCACACCTGTGTTGGTGTGATCTTCATTACTTGTTAGTCAGCAGCAGAAATGTCAAAATAAAGCAAAAAGAGGTCTCTAGCTGCTGCAGACTTTTTTGTTTTTTGACAGGTTATGAAAGGTTGTAAAAGTGTAACTTAGACATCAACTTATGCTAGGAGAAAAAACAGACATCGGTTTGTTGCCATTTATACAGAAAAGCACAATAAAAAGATTAGTACTTTGTTGACATTATGCTACGCACCTGTATGTTATAAATTTGGTCTCTTTCAATAGTGTTCGGAAGTCAGCTTTGGCAGTAATGTATTTGTCTCTAATGTATTCCTCAAACTCCCTTTGTTTTTTCTGAAAGGAAAAAAGTAAGCTTAAAACACTGAATGCAGATTAAGTACTTCACACAACTTAACATACTGAACATAAGCAATAATTACATATTAATTATATTTTTCCTTATATTTTACATTTTTAATTTTAAAAAAATCTTATTAAACAATAATACTTCTGTCCACATAAAGCAGAAACTACTTCAGCAGCCATTAACTTATTTGCTCTGTATCCTGCACTATACTGAAAGTTAGCAACAGTGATGCAAACTGCTTACCCTGTCACTCGAAGAAAATTTAATGCACCTTGGATCTTCTTTAATGATTTTTTTCACTTCTTTCCATGTTGATGTTAAAGTTATCTTTCAAAAGAAGCAAAAATAGTTCAATTAAAAGAAAATTAGATTCTAAGAATACGGAATGTAAATATTACTACACCTGAACCTTTTAAATATCTCCCAAGTCCACTGACAAAGTTGTTGCTGTATCTTTAAGTGTTGGGTTTTGATTATTTATACTACTACATTCGTATTTTTAATGAGTTGATTTTATATATTTACTTTTCTTTAGTAATTTGAGATGGCATTTCCAGATCAAAGTCCTCACAAACATCGTTTACCTCCCAAAGTCTTTTTCTAGTACATATTTATGTACATGAATGTGTTGTTAAAAATTACCCACAGAAAAACTTGCTTCAGAGTTACATGTCTGTCATTTTATTCTATCACACTAAAAACCTGCCTAATGTTCTAAGCACTTTTAAATAATGCATTAAAAAATGAGGTAAAAACTTTCGTTAAAAGAAAGCTGACTGAAGTTGGCACATAACTAAGAAAGAGCAAGACTCACTAAAACCCCATAATACACAGAATAGGTGATAGATTTCCATAGCATTACACAGAATAGAAGTTCAAATTCAGTAGCACAAGATAAAGCAGAAGAACATCAAAACAGATGAACTTGGTAAGATTATATACTGATATTCATTACGACAAACACACTGGATATCTGAAAGAGCAATATGCCATATAGTAAAGAGTATCAAATAACTCAGTGTTGAAGAAATGTAACATCCTGCAGAAGATAAGAAGATCACTGATTAGAAGTTTAAATGTAAATGAACTGTATGTTAAACCAAAATAACACTCAAGATAAATAGGTAAGGAAACATAATGTACAAATTTTGTTATGAAGAATAAAAGATAGTGGTGAAGCAAAGGGGCCCTGGAAATAAAAACAAACAAATCAGATTGTGTGACAGAAAACCAGGAAAAGATAAATCACAATGGGCTGGCAAAGATTTGAAGTTTGAATATATACAGCTCTTACCGCTGAAGTTTCATCCAGAAGTTGCCTAAAGTGTTCCCTCTTCTTTTTGGTAAGTGCTTCAATGTGTTCATTAAAGAGCTTCTCTTTCTCTTCTCTTTCTAGCAAGGAGCCAGATTCCCATCGATGATCTTTGCGTAGAGTCCTTCTGGTATCAGACCATGACACATCTGAAGAACGCACCTGAGCCAAAAGATGATTTTTTTTTTTAAACCATTTTTTCTACATTTCATTGATATTGCTTATATACTTCTTAGTTTTTTTATTTCTCTTGTTTTAAGTTAAGGTTCAAATTAAAGATGAAAAAAAAACAACAACAAAACAGCTTTTAAGTAAGAGACCGTAGTAGCTTCCCCACAAATACTAAACAGGCAGTGGCAAAAGGAATTACTTTGCATCAGTTCAAATATAGATGGAGACACCCCACTGACCTGGCTGAGTATTCTTGCAAAAAGAAAAATCCAGCACCCTCCTCCTCTGTGCATAACGTACTATATTAACCGTAAGTGGTCCGGAAAGACAGCCTCAGAGATAATTATTTCCAAAGAGACACTAGGAGCTTTGCGGTGCCTTGCTTCTAGCCCGGAGCTAGGAGCTGTTGCTTTATGTTACCAGCTATACCACCAGACCAGAGTGATGAGCCATTTATATCCCGCCCCCTTATAAACATTTCAATGCTGAAATGTGGAATCGAGCACTAGTAACGTGTTTGGATTTCATGTCTTACACCAGGGAGCAAGGGCATAGTGCACATACTGGTGAAAACTCATTTTGCTAATCCTGTCCTCTTAATAGGACATTACCCATACAGGAACTGCTCTCTCACAGATTAGCTTGACCAGCAGAACAAAGTAAACATACAACATAGCAGAGAAATGGGTAAGACAAAGGTGCTGTGTTTGGAGCATGAAGAAGAGAGACAATGCAAAAATAAGGGAACTATTCCTAATGCTCAACAATATCTAATTTTCCAACAGACATACAGAAGTTTACAGTAGCATGACTGAAAATCTGCCATCAGCCGTGAGACTCCAGAGAAATACAGGAGGAATAATGCTATCCACTAACTCCCTGGGCAAGATGCCAGAACGTGAACCCTAAATGCAAAGCATTCTCTGCCAACCGAGGCAAAACTCCCGACAGTGAGTGGAGGGCAGTGGGGAGAAGACAAGAGTATTCTATTTCTATATAAACTTAGCTACAAATGCCAAAAAGCTTTTACATAGCGCAACAACTAGAAAAAGAATGCACTGACAAGCTGAGAAAGCCTGTCCATATCTCACCATGTCAGACAGAAGCGCTTTGAAGTTTTGTATAGCTTCTTCCCGTTTGTGCTGCTCACGTTCTCTATCAATTTCCTTGGTTTGCTCAGAACGCGCTTTCTGGACTTCCCTTTCTCGTTCACGCAAGCTTGCCTCAATGCGAGCTTGTCTTTCCAGTTCCTTTTCTTTTTCAGAATCTAAGTTCTGAAATGTAAGAACAAACTTTTCTCAATAAAAACAATACAACACCTTTCATATTTTCATTAGACAGGTAAATAAATTAAAAGGTTATCAAACTATAGGCATCTTGGAACAAAATACTTCAAAGTGATTTGAGATCTATGGATTACAAAATATTGCTTCAACAGGTATGTTGAAGCATTATAGAGTTTACACGGGAGAAAGAGAAGTTTGGTCACAATGCTGATCACAGAACTATTCTCAGGAGCATGTTGTTTGTGTACAGTGACAAACTCTGACTAATGCGGGCACAGGGCAGAGAGGTATCACTATTTGTTAGCCCAGTTTTACATTCTCAACCATTTATTGCCTGGAAAAGAAAGGTAGGAATATTGGATTAAGAAAGAAGAACCAGTGAAGGAACTGTGTATGAACCATCTATATTCCTGAAGGAAGCTCAGCTGATACAAAAAATCACAGCAAAGGAAACTCTGCCCATCCTGGTAGGAAGTAATCAATGTGGTGTCTGTATTTTCTGAAGTTTTACAGCCATTTTTACAACCAATGGCTTTACAGGAGTCTCTGCCTTATCTTGCTCTGCCAGATAAATTCTCCCAAATATCATGTGCGTGTATGCACGTGCGCATACAGGTACCATGAGCATCTGCAGCAGCACCACCACCAGGGGTAGTACTTCTAAGTTTCAAGCTGTCATTCTGGGATACTTCTACAAATAACTATGGTATAGAATTCTCTTTAGTATGGAACTAAAGCACATATTAGTCTATCTTCTAGTTAGTTACTTCACACATTAACAGCAACATGACCAGCAGAACATGCAAAGTTATGCTTCTGAATGTCACATGCATACCTTAGCTATTTTTTCTATGTACTGTTTGAAAAGGTCTTCCCTCTGTGAAGAGCTATCCACTGCTTTGTAACGGGGGTCAGTCTCTACTTTGTCCTTCACTTTGCTCCAGCGAGACTGACTGTCCAGGTGGTGATTAGCCAGTAGTTCAAAGAAGTCCATTTTGATCTGTTTTACAGACAGAAACAGAAAGACAATACTTGAGAAAGATACTTTGATACCCAACAGTTTGCTCTTATGAAAAAAGGAGTCAACTTACCTCCAACAGAGGGAAGCATATTAATATTACATACCATTACAATTTAGAGAAATCACTAAAACTCTGAATTTAGACACAACTGCATCTAAAATTCACTTCCCCTTGGGACAATTTTGCTAAAGCAGATACATTAAGACGATCTGCTACATCTAAGATGAACTACATTCTTTAAAGAATGATTCACCAATACAGTTTTTATTATTTTACTCCAATTTAAGCTTCTTTTTTGAGCTTTTATATATATTCTCAAAGTTACTGATTCTACATTATAGCATTTTGCACATTAACACTACAGAAGCTATGCAGTTTTAAACAGGGCTCTAGACAAATCAAGTATTTATGGATTTATCCTCCAAGTGTACAATGAACAGAGGTAAATATTTGGATCTGCTGATAAAGAGCAATGTCTTAAGATGGATCTAACTAATAAAGAATTACCCACATATGGTAATTAAGTAAATTACATTTAAGATGGATATGCACATATATATAAAAGTTTAAGGAAATGTTTTAATCTACTTTTTCAATTGGAAATGGCATGTCAGCACTCTGTCTGTAACAACAGCCATCGTAAAGGGCTGGCAGAGGATCAATTATATTAGTTTTTTTATCTTGAGACAACTAGCAATACATTTTCATTAAAACTCCCAGAACCAGCAGTCACAAGAGCAACTACCGTGCCTTTATTACATCTCTTTTTTCTGGGGTAGATGATCTCCCTGTTCCTGCTGCACTTTAGGTCTAGGTATTTTCTCCTTTTTATTTCTTTAGAAATCTGGTTTGGCATTTAAGCCTCCATCTCTCCGAATCAAAGAGGCGAGGGGCTGGTTCGCCTCACTCGCTGAGTGCCAGGGGATGACTCTAGGGATCCACATGCAAGGCGAAGCATGCTGCCTTCACAGCATCCCAAACCCTGCTGGTCCACAAAACAAAATCCATCTTTATGGCACGCTAATTAAAAAAAAAAAAACAACAAACAAACAACCAAACAACAAGGAGAAGGGCTGGCCATTTATTTTCTGCTACTTATCTCCTCTCCTCATCCTTTTGAAAAAAGAAAACCACCAAAAGCAGTTTAGCTCCACAACACTCAGGTTCATAAGGGAAGTGAGCAGATGGACAGGAGAACAATCTCTGGCTTGCCAGAGAACTGTCACATCCCGATTATCTAAAAATGTGCTTAGTTACAGAATGCAAGAACGAAATGAAGATCAGAACCAACATTCTGCAGCCTTGCCCACCGATAATTTTAGTTCTTCACAATATTAACATATAAACATAAAAGGCTTTATAGGCTTTTTTGCTTTACTATCTCAACAGAGAGATTAAGATAGTAAGCGCCAGTGGGAAGTTGCTCTACATCTACAGCACTATCACTTTTTCTTAAAGTAGCTGAACAAAATGCTAAGCAAACCGTTTATTCATTGTAAAATTAAGAATGTTGTTTCAAAACATCTTAAAACATGCATGCAGTATCAAAAATATGAAGCTTTCTAAGCCATGGCATTAGAAATATTTGTTAAAAATCAAACAATTCCCAGACGTTACTACAGAAGTCTATAAAGTAAGGGTATCTCAAAGCTTCTGCACAAATCACATATCCATATATATATATATTCCACAGGATAAAAACTGCATACCCACAACACTGCTGGAAGCACCTTGGCACCAGCTGCAATACAAAACCAGACCTAGGAACACCACCACAATCTGTAGAAAGATGCCTCCGCAGGAGCCGCCAGCAGCACCCCCTTCGCTGACACCGTGCACTTGCTGACTACTGAGCTCCTGCACTACTGTACAGAGATGCCAGCTGGGCTATCTGCTGCTTCACTAGCGACCAACTTAGCAGAAAACCAGGAGGGTACAGCCAATTCCCTCCTGAGAAAAATGAATGACACTTCCAGACCTTTAATGCTCTTAAAGCATGGGTTTAACTTTCGTCATTGGCAATATATATAGCACAAGTATTGCAATTTGGTTTTCAATTTAAAAAAAGGCGGCAAAAACTTCTCAAAAAATTGAGTCAAAAACATCGCACCAAGGAATAATCTTTTAAGATCACAGCTCTACGATGATGCGAGTTTAACACATCTATACACAGTAACTAGCTCAACTAAGTAGAATATTACAAAGAAAACTGTTAAGAGATCTTGATACAGGATAGATGACAGATGAGACAGCCATCAGCACAGCGGGCTGCAGGATGTTTGCAGCTGAACATTTCAGTAAGTCTACGTAAAGTGGGATGTCAGGCTCATCTGCTGGTACGGCTCATCTTGAGGACATGCAACGATGCTGTGTCCTGGGACAGCACATGAGCAGCTTGGTCAACGTTACCAGCTCATAGTCCCTTTCCCAATATCCTCAAACCCACGCGTACTTCCTCATCTCTGTCATCTGAGAAGTATTAGCATTGTATTTACTCACTGAAATTAGCCACATGAATAAAAACAACCATCTGAAAAGCTGGCTGCTCCATCACCATCCAATAAGCCATAACTCAATGAAGCAAAATCAAAACATTATATAATTTAAAACCCTTACGTTAAAGATTTCTGTAAAGTTGATCCTCCTTAAATAAAGATTTTGGACTTTTAAAACAGACTGAGAAAGCTTCAGGTTAAATGCCTTACATTTTCTTTTATGTTTTAAGCACTTTCAAAATCAAAGGAAAATAAGACTGAAAATATTTCAGGTGTATTTAGAAGTCTTTTTTTTTTTTTTTTGGCAGTTAACACATTGCAGGTACAACTCTCATCACTTCACAAGGAAAAAAACTAAAAAAATGTAAAGTACCGGAACTGCGGGAGGCTAAAGTCACCACACAGAGATACCAATTCTTTCCTCACTAGGGAATCCCATAATATTTGCGTGTCAGTGATTGACAGCTGTCAGACTGAACTGATTGACAGGCCGCACAGCACATAACTGTAAAGTCTATCCACTTGTTATAAAACAGAATACATAAAATGGTTACAAAAGGCTTTTGGAGAAAACACATTATTTCAAAAGCAAACAAACACAATCTCTCTTCTTTTAACTTTTCAACTTTAGAACAATCATGCAACAACAAAACAAATAAATATATACTTTTTTTTTAAAGTCTTCAACTGCACTATTAAGCTGCAAGAATGCTTTAAAATTCCATATTCATAATCGAAATGTAGTATGTAAAAGTCTAGTTTTGAACTACATCAGTTCTCCTCTGAAAGCAGAATCATTTATTGAAAATATCAGCAATAAGTCAACATTTGGAAAAAATCAAGTACAGAATCAAATTAGACCAGAGTACCTAGATTAAAAAAAAATGCAAACCTTATTGAATAACGAAATTGTCCCCATATCTAACCTGTTATTCAGCATTTTTCTCTTCTGTAAGCATTCTTAGTAGGTGAAATTTGCAATAACTTTATACTACAAAATAAATATTGCAGACTTAAAATGTCAAAAATGATTAGGCTTTAGAGGTTATTTTCTCCATTCGCACAACATACAGGGACATTTAAGTAAGTGGCTGCATATTTTGATGATAGTATTTGATGCCACCTCCATAGTAGCCTGCTTCCCCAGTGGTGAAAGCCTGCTCCCTGCTATTGACAATACGGTCAAATGACATTTGGAATTCATTAATCTTTAATAGCTGACCTTTAATTCTAATAAGCAGCAGTTTATACATAAGATATATTTACTGAAAGATTAAAAAGTCACTAAAGTGCTAGCTTTTAGATGGAAAGAGAAGATATGGAAGCTGTTTGAAATTTAAACGGAGTATTCTACAGAGAATTTCAGCTGCCTCCACTGAGAGAACAGAGAGGTAATGGCCAGTTCTGGGGTTTCCAGCTAAATAGGACAAGAATCCTTTCCCTTTTAATGCTTCAGGAAAATATAACTTTAAAAAAAAAAAAAAAAATAAAATCAGGCATTATTCCAGTTAAGAATATAATGTTACTTGCTTAGGTAAACCAAAAAAAGCGTGATTATTTAAGTAAACTCAGCTTCACAAATAAATGTAAGTTCAATTCTACATACTCTAAAAGTCAGTATACCTGCAAACTTAAAACAGTTAGTCCAGAAAGACCAAAGGGACATCCGTGAAGTGTAAAAACCTCTATGGAAAGAGAAGGACCGTGTCTCAGAGAAGGCTCACTGGAAACCAAGCACTGGCTTTGTCCCATCTCACTCAGACTCACACCATTCACACTGCTGGAACTAAAAAAGTCACCTTACCTTCTCACCTCTGGTCTTCGAATCTTCTTTTTCCTTCTTTCTTGCCGCTGTGATAAACTCATTAAACAAGGCCTCTCGATCTTTCATCTTTTCAATTGCCTTGAATCTCGAGTCTTTAGCATGCTTGGCTGCAAATTCACTAAAAGTAGTTCTGCAACAAAATGGCAAGTGAACTCATTTGGCAGAGCTGACTTTGCTGGGAAGC